GTTTAACTTGGCCGAGGATTAAGTTTACCTCGTTTCAAGGGTGCCAGAGCAGCGTGGAATTTCTACCTCTTATTTTTCCACCTCCTCGCCCTGGCGCTGGAAAAGAGCGCGCGGTAGGTATTTCTTAATTAGCAGCAAGTATCTCGTCCGACGGAAGTTGCCTTATTAATTAATATTACAGAGGAGAGGGACATGACGAGGGAGGAGAGGGTGGAAGAAAGAGCGAGAGACGTAGAGCGAGAGGAGACGAAGCGCAAATTCGCACGGGGTAGGGATATCTTTTGTAAAACGTGACTTCTGCTCATGCGATTACGCGGTTGACGCGACCACAATTCGTCAAAGTAAAAAATAGCACTCGTACAACCGTCGGTTTCTATGTAGAAATTCGTTGAATAGTCATGAAATTCCGCGCGACGCACGGGCCGAGATTAAATCGCGCGCTATGTAAATTGTAAGTGAGAAACTTGAATATATAAGTTAAAATGTCGCGTGATGCCGGCTGATACCGCCGAGATATGCTAATTACATATAAACTCGAGAAACGCTAAGGAAATTATGAAGCCGCAGTGATAACCCGAAAAAAGAATAGCTATATCTTCGCTGTTATCAATTAGATAATGGATGAATTTACATATTCGCGGGATACGTCTCGTCTTTTAGCGTTTTTAAACGTTGCCTCGCTACTTTGTTTGCACGCAGCTTTTCTAGCTTCTTCACTGATAAATATTACGTACGATTAAGCAAGCACGATCTTCGCAGTTACTAAGGCGTGACCATCCGGCAATCGGGAGTATTCATTAAGATACCCCCGTCAACATTGTTTCGACTACCGTCGGACGGTCGCTTATAATACGGCCGTTAACGAGCTCGCGAAGATAAATTCGCGTCCTCACAGTTTCGGGAAAGTGTCATTAACGAAAGGGTCGAATGTGCCTTGCGGTATCGCGTGGGTCGGAGACCGCTCGAAGGAGCAGTAAAATCCAGAGTGAAGAAAAGGGCAGACCCGCCTGAGGAAGAAGGCAACAAAATAATACGGGCCTTGGCGGACATTCGAGAAGTTAATGTCGCGAACGCGCGAGGGCGGACGCAGAAAAGGCGGAAAGAAGGAAAAAAAGAAAGGGAAGGGAGGGCGGCCGGTGTCGCGCGAGACGTTTTAATAAACCGAGTTGGCCAATCAAAGCGGGAGTTAAGGAGCTTTCTTGTTTTTTAACGGCCGTTTTTACGCCCGCTTAAATCACGTAGCGCTGCGCCACTCGGCGAAATGATGGGCCGAGAAGCGGTCGCGAGAGGGATGCCGGAGCGAGAAAGAACTCGGGATTCAGAAAGACGCGGAAAGATTTTTACGAGTGAATGGAGCGATGCGATGCGAGAAGAGAGAGAGAGAGAGAGCTGCTTTCGGGACGCGAGTTATCGATCGAATATCTCAGGATAAACTATCGACGCTGTTTCTTGTACCATTCTGTACTTTATTCACAATTCCACCCTAGCCGAAATTTCGCTTCCACATTAACCCTGCAAAATCCGCCAATCAAATTTATTCACGTTCTTTACACTCGGACCATTTATCTCGAAAACAATGCTTCGTTATTATGGAAATGAAGGAATTACAATCCATCGATAATTTACTTATTTATATGTTATTTGAAATGAAACGTTCATGTATATTCGTCGACTGATGTGCGATGAATTTTAATTTTTGACTCGTTATCACGTATCTCATCATGCTTATACTCGCACGAACGCAGAATCATTATTGTGATATCGGTATCAGCTCGATATTATCATTAGCGAGCTCCAATCCGCGAGTCGGCGCGAACTACTTCGCACATACGAGGCCGCATTCCGTTGCGGCGGATAGGTGGTTATTTTAACGCTCGATAAACGCAGACGGATGCGCATATAGGGACGCAGTTATTGGCACTTTAAGCGTAGACTTTTCATTCACAGCTTCTATAGACTCACCGCGGCGCGCTGCAAACTATACATTTTTCATTCAGTCCGTTAGATGAATGATCACGTTATGAGAGTGCACGCGCGCGCGCGCACGTTCGAAAGTATGTGCAGAAGCGTATCTGCGCTTTGTTGCGTGGGAACTGAGCCAACAATGCACGTTACCGATCACACGCGAAATTACCGCGCAACATCGCGCGGTTACAAGCCGGCATTATTCCTGTTAACGGTGAAACGGGCAACCGGGGGATACGAAAATCTCTCCGCTTTTACGTCGTCTCCTCCTTTCATTTACACGTGCGAATTTATCGTTTGACGTTTTTTCACAAATTTATCGTATCGAGGCGCGACTTAATCCTACTTTGATTTACAGATAACGTTCTTACGTTCCGCCGATAGGCGTCGGTGAGCGAAAATCGTGAAACCGATCGATGTCCTTCTCAGCAGCAGCGGGCAAACCGGACTCAGAAACAAACTTTAATATCAGCGCTGCTTTTCACGTGCAGCCGACTTAAAGCTCAAGCGACCGAACTCGACGTGTCTCGCTCACGCACACACCCCCCGGTAAACTGGCCGCACATAGCGGGTGCAAAAAATGTGAAAACTTTCGCATCGCTCGGCCTTCATTTTTATTCGCCTCGCTTTTTTATACGCGGACGCGACGCGGCTGCGTCGCGCGCGCGCGCGCGCGCACCGCCGAGCGGCCGGAACGGGACACGCGTTCCCATCGGCCGGATATTATTTCAGTCGGCGCATATTTCCGCAAATGAATTTTATGAAAACAGTTTTTGCTCTTTTAATTAATCGCTCCTCCGTCGCCGGACCACCCGCGCTCACCGCCATTTCTCTTCGCGCGGCGGCGACGGCGCCGCGAGAAGCAGCTCGGACGAAAGGGAGAGAGAAAGAGAAGCGCGGCTTTTAGTAATAATATTGTTTCAGAGGACCAAGCGCGCGGAAAAGAGACTCCCACCTCCTCCCTCTCGGTCCTTCTGTGCGCGATACGTGATTTGCGTGATTTACGTAAGCCCGCCGCGACGTTACACACTCCGTCCCTTTTTTCCCGCTGCGAAGAAAGGGCGCCTGGAAAAATTGTTAGCTCGCAGATAATGACGCTCGCTTCCCAAGTTGCTCGTAGCTGCGGGGAGTTTTGCGATTCGACGGGGTAATTTGCTGGCGATTAAACACGGGGAATAGTTCGAACGGAATAACGATCCGGCAAGAGGGAGGGAGAGAGAGAGAGAGAGCAAAAGCGATTCGATGCGCACTTCCGACGGGTAAATAGATACTGATAATCGCGGCTGTTGGTCGTTCGCTTCTTTTGTGCGACGTTGGCGGGGTTGAAACCGGTATAATTTGTATATATATCAAATTATGTGTACCAGAATGTCAAACCGTAATTGCACGTTCGTAATAATATCCTGCGAAATATCTATATTTAATTTACAGCCGTCAGAATATTCAGGTAGGTGTCAAACGTTTCAAAAGCATTCCGTATAGCGCCGTTAAAAATCTTTCGCGAAATTGACTTAGAATTCGTCGAAATTAAGACCGCAACATTTGCGTTCCCAACACTCGACTCCCGACAGTCTCTCCACTCGAACTTTTTTCTTCCGTCACTGTCACCGATACGATATTTACACATCCCGCGTGTGACGAATGTGGCGCGGCAGAAAGGTCGAAGTGATCCAAGGACGGTTGAAAAGCTGGAGGAGAATCTCCTCGCTCGCAACAAAGTGCCGCTTACGCCGACGTTTTGTACAAACAGGAGTAATCGTCGGCCAATTAGATGGTCGGGAGGTTGTAGTTAGGCGAACCTTCGGGCGGCTAGGTGCGCCCCGGATAATCGCGGTCATAAATAACATTTATCGGGGGGGTCCCGTGCTCTAATTGCCAATGATTACCGCGAGCCGCACGAGAAAAAATTGCCAATTTGCATCGAATGCTCGGCCGTCCCTCTCTCTCTCTCTCTTTCTTTCTCCTCTCTTTCTTCCTCTTTCTCTCTGGTTTCCCGCTTCGTTTACTTACCGGCCGCCCGGCCCGTCGGATTATAGATAAGCAGTTTCGCCTGTGACGTTAAATCACCTTCCGTTATCCAGCGACGGTCGTTCCGCTAAAGCTCGTCGAGATACGTCGATATTAAAAAAGCATCGCGGTCGCATTAATTCTCGGGGAACAAATTGCCTCGATGGATGGCGCGTATTTTATGGATTCCTGAGGAGTCCTGGAGATCGTTCGTCGCGGTCGGTTTCCAACATCTTCCATTACGCGGTTATACAAGCGGAAGCCGTCGAAATATGCCGACGCAAAAGGCGTCGGGCATATTGAATCGCGAGGATATCGCGGAATTGTTTTCTTTCGAACTTTCGATCTTACGGAAAGTTGAACGATGCTCGAAAGATGCTCGGTGTATCGCCAGCTCGTTAAATATTAAACTTAACCCCCGAGTTGGCGATACTTGTGATCCTCGCGGCGCGCTAGAGAGGTCGGGGGATTATTGCGTTTCCTCGCGGCTTCGTCATAAATTCGCGATGTTCAGCCGAATTTCGAGTCAATTCGTGCGAATCGCGCGACCGCCCCTTCGCCGATCTCTCTCCGGTCGCTTCCTCTTCCGTTTTCTTCTTCTTCTTCTCCTCCTCCTCCTCGCTCCTTTTTTTCCTTCCCACCGCCGGATATAGAGCGTAGAGGGTTCGCGTTCGCACCCGAATAGAGTTGGATGCCGCTCTCCTGAATACACAATGCGATTTATTCGAAACGCGGCGTATAAAACACAAAGGACCGCGTATGATTGGTAAATTATTGAGACCGGCCGGATTTGTCGGCCAATCACGTAGCGCCCTTAAATAATTCAGGGGAAATACGGGGGGAAGGATGCGAGAGGGTGGCTCCACGAGGTGGCGGATAGTCATTCCGCGACGTTGATTCTCGCGATATCGCGAATCAATATCGAGTCGCGACAGAAACGAGAACTACGCATAAACCTTTAAGGAAGGCCGGAGGAAACGGCGCCGCCGGGTAACTCGCACAAACTACCACGACGGTATTGCATAACATCGAAACAAATTTATTAATACCTCTATGATAGAACTATAATACAAAACGTATCTATGCTAGCGAACGCGTACACATTTCCTTAATAATATCTCGATTATCGCGTACATCGTGTTCCAAGCGCAATCGGGATTGAATACGTACAACGCTGCTTGTGATTTACGTGTGGATTTAGAACGCGATCCGTTTGAACACCGTAGGATCAAATGTACAAAAGGGCTTAGCGCATTCTTCTGAAAATACTCACGTTGCTTGCCTGCGTCGTTTAAACGCCGTTCACACTCGATAGTCGCATAGTACGATGTAAATATTCCGTCGGAGATCTCGTAGTCGAGGATTTCGTCGAAGACGTTACGTGTTAGGAACTATGCTGACTTGATCTTGGAATCAACGCGCATTCCGCGAGTCAATCGTTTGTCACAATTGCATCGTCGACGTATCTTCGGATATCGGAAGGAATTTCACGCGGGAGTCGTCGCGCCTGGATCGGCGACTTTAACGCGCCCGGCGAATGTAGCGTTCGGGGCTTGTCTCAGAATAGGTATCGATACGATTCGTTACAGTTGCCACATGGAAATAGTTGTATACGTGTGCGGTGTTCTTATTCGCGAGTGATAATCACGGAAGGTGCGCTAACAAATTGGCACTGTTTATTAACATATGCGTGTCTCGTACATGTTAATTGTCGAGATGCAAGATCGCTGCCGCCGTTTAACGTCCATGCGTGTACCTCGAAAGAAAATTACGAAACTGGACAGCACCGCGTATAACATTGACGCACAATGTGGAGAAAATAATTAGAGGTTTGCGAATCGTTTGAATTCGAATCGCTGCTGAGTTGATTCGAATTTGTTTGCGAATTTAAAAGATACAAATCTGAATAGTTCGGTAATTCCGAATCATCGGCGATTCACTTTCGAAGCGGTCATATTTTTTTATTGCTCCATTTATAAACGATAAATTATAAACAAATAGGCCATTGAAATTAGAAATTGGTTCCTCAAAGTCATTTTTTTATTGTCGACAAAATTATGCGTGTAAGAGTGTGCTTTTGTTAACCACTTGCGCTGGCAAGAAATTCACAGACGCGTGTGCCAGAACGGTCCAGTGTAACTCGCTGGGAGGCGTCACACAATGTTCGATGCCTTAGAGAAATCGGAGAAAGACTTATATCTTCTAAACTAATTTAGAATATAGGTTATATATTGACAACTGTACGCTATGCAGTGCAATAAGAATCAGTGCTCTGGCAAAGAATCTCAGTCGACGTGCCACGCACGTCGTTTCTGTGACAATTGCCTGACGACGTGTATACCACGTCGTTGGCGATTTTGCGACAAAAGCATTACGACATGCGTAACACCACTTTCCAGCGCAAGTGGTTAAATAATTTAGTATAGTTCTGATTATAAAATACAGATACTTTTGTAAGGTGTGCATTAGTTTAAAAACACTATTAATACATAGCTTATACAAAAAATTAAAACAATTAATTCCATAATTTTTCACACATTCTGTGTATATATTTGCCAATTTGTAAAATATGATTACATATACACGTATCTTACCAGCTTATAAACTTTGCACGCTCCTGTCTGATATCTGTTACAAATTTTCTAGCATTTAGCGCAACATTTTCCTTGTGGTTGGTGAGAGATTTTCTCAAAACTATGCAATGATTAATATTTTTACCCATTTAAAAAAAGATTTTAATAATTATTGAAGGTACTTCATCATATTTAAATTAGCATGTGTAGTGAAAATTTCTGAAAATCTGATTAAAATTCGATTCGCGTTTGAATTAAAGAAATTTGATTCGATTCGACATGAAAATTTCAAATTCGATTCGATTCGACTTCGAACATATCAAAGATTTGCTTCGATTCGACTCCGCAGATGCTTGATTCGAACACCTCTAAAATTAATATCGACGAAGTAAGTATATAAAATATATAAAGTATATAAAATTATCCTACAATCGCATGAATCTGTGTACGATCGCGTACGTAATAAAATCGCGTAAGACAATATTCTTCAACGAAATCTATCAACGATGGTCTCACAGCCGATTCCAGTTAGCTTCGTGAAAATATACGCCTTAACGTTTATGCATTTGCATAGAAATAAATGATCAAATGCGAAGAACGAACCTCTTCGTCGTCTCGCGTCGCGCCACGAGAACTGTGAAGAAGTCGCGCCTGTTAAGGGTTAACCTGTTCAGTAGAATTTCTCGGCGCAGCTGCCGGCCTATTATCGTTCGACGTAGGTACTTTTGGCATCGACGAATCCCCGAAGAGCCCAGGGAAAGGAAATAAAACATTCTTCCCGAGACTGCGGGTATTCCTCGTGATCCGATACGATCAGCACGGGCCGGAGAGCGAGAGAGAACTTTCGGCATAACTCAACCTCGTTATCTGACTCGCAAATAAGGCAGCGGAAAAGTTCGCGACATCAATCTGGGCCTCTGTCGGGAGATTCGAAGTTGAAACAATGCTTAAGTCACCCCTAACGTATGAGCCCCATGGGGTGGCGAGTTGGCGGCGGCGAGATGGTAGCGAGACGACGGTTGCGCTGCACTGCATGACCCCCAAAGTCCGTCGATTCGATCTCGGTGCCCGTCGTCCTCCCGACGTCCGGCAGGAGCAAGACCCTTGACGGGGATCCCGCACGTTATACCGCCCCGCCGACCAGTCCTGCTATGGTGGGCATTAAACACGAGAGGCCAAACTTTATTACCGTCTCGAAGTTTCGGCTTTCTCGCGACGGAGGCTGTTAAAGATCTCTTGGATGTCGATGCCGATGATGCGCTCGCACCGTGGCACAAAGCGAGTAAATCCGGGAATCCGAAATCGACGCGGACCTACTCGGTCCGCCAAAGTCCTCGCGTAAGTTTTGTCTGCATTGTGTTCGTGTTCTTCTTCTGCTTTTCCCATCTGCTCTTTTTCTCTCTTCAGCAGTCCTCGTTCTTGGACCGAATCGCGTTAACCCCATCAATTATAGTCTAAAGAGCACCAATAGTTCGCCATACTTGGCGAATACACGTTTCGTTACCTATCTATCTTACCTAGTTATCTATCTATCTGTCTATCTAACTATCTATTCATCGTTTAACCGGTCGAGCGTGGGGAAGACGAATTCCTTCGACGTATCGGGCATACGTGAATCTAATGAAGCGAAACAACGAAAGAACACTTTGGATTTACGCATCCTTCCCACACGTTCTATCTTACGTTGGAGAAACTATTCGTAAACGGGAATGATGACTCATCCGGGAAACATGGCGTTCGTCGAAAGGCGCGGCGGTGACAAGGTGACACGGGAGAAATAGTTGCTCCGTGCAATTTTGTCAGCTGTTAACCCTTTGCACTCCAGTGGTGACTCTCACTCACCATGTGGTGCCATTTTCGCGCCGCGCGAAAAAGGCCCGGAGTGCAAAGGGTTAAAATATATTACACTGCCGTTTTTTTTTTTTTATTTAACGAAACGTCGCGGGTATATTTCCTTTTTGCCGATCGACACTACGTAAATGAAAGGATTACTCGTCTAAATTCTCCCGCGCCGCTTATCCCACTTAATCCCGCGTCGCCTCGCTCGGACACCATCGTATATTTTATGGTTGTAATCTTCTATTTACATAAACCGGACTTCGGAGAGTTTCGCCCCATCGATCTTCATTCCACGACCAAGCGCGTTCGTATGCGAATATATAATACATATCTATATACGATAAAACGCGCCGTCTCTCCCGTTCGCGACGCCGACAACTTATAACGATACCTTTCGACAGTTAGGAGATAATCGATTATGCGCGATCTGCCACAGAGTCACTCACGAGCTAAATGTTACTGGTTTGGACGATCGGGATGGTAAGCTATACGTAGACAACGAGGACGACAGCCGATTTTCGCGACGTCCCCGTCCGCGACACGCGCGCGCGCGCGCGCGACTCAATCGATATATCGGCGCTTACTTCGTTTGTCATTTGGCATCGTACGATGCTTGCGCATTGATACCGTTTAAATTATTCATGGGGTTCAGGACGTTATGGGCGCTCGAGCTGGCTGGCGCTGGATATCCGTTGTGGTTATGGGCCGTCTCCCCGTTCGCTTGTCGTTGAGGGCCACCCGCGGCTACGGTCTGCAAGATAAAAGAAGACGCGTGAGGATTACGCCGGGATACTCGGCATATTTCGTGGTCGGTGTTTCTCTTTCAATTTGGCCCGATCGACGATCTCGACTTAGCGCGGAAGATTTATGCGACCGGTAGCGCGTCCTTTCTTGTTTTCTTTTTTTTTTCTTTTAGAACCGCGTCCGAGCAATGCCGCGCCGCGTAAACACGGGACTGAAGCAGCAGATTCGCGTATATTTTCTCTATCGATCTCTACGAAAACGTATCTCGTTTCTGTCTTGAACGTTCTCTCGATAACTAGTTGTAATTTAGGTAAAAACTTATATCGATGCGAGTGATATACCGCGTACCGCTGTAGATGAATCGCATTGACCGGCCTTAGTTAACAAATTCTGATTAGTGACTCGTGTCTTTGTCTAGATTATAACTCTAACTGTAACATAGATTGAGAAAGAAAATTTAATTAACCATGGTTATTGAGATTGCTGATCGATTTTGCTGCAAATATGGTGTAATTATGCTGCGTAACGATGAAAGCAGACGTACGTGATCTCCACTTTATTAACATAAAATTAACACGACTAAAATCTTCAGGGAAGTTTTTCATTCTAAGGAAACGTAACAGACGTGATAGACGTGGACCCGGCATTAAATAAGAAATAAAATCGAAAAATGAATACGTCGAAATAAATACTGTACAGGCTGCTCTATAACTCTAAGAGCATTAGAGTTATTAATTGCATTAGGAATAACTATTCAACGATTTAATTCATCGCCACTGATGCTCCGACGCGCTTTCATAATAAAATATCAATCGTCCGTTTTACGGAAATTGTTCTTAATAGTTTACGTAGCGATCGCGTAAAGAGCGTTTAATCCATTTTGGACACGCTGCACTCACGTGTGAACCTTCTGATTTCTCTCCGAGCTACCTTTAAACGAGTAAGAAACGCCGCTTAAGAATTACGTCCAATTTATCCTCGAGAGCCCATTTGTCGGGCGCTTAAATGCATATTTCAAAAGATGCATACGACAACGAATCTGTAATTCTGAAGAATCCAATCCGATTAGGGGACAACTTACGGAATCCAGGAATAAGATCAGCCGATCGACCGGCTACGTCGGCCTCGGTGATTCGATTTTCACAATTATTCACGACACGCGCCACGTAAAATTCGTCCCGGGCTCCGAAAGGGGTTGACGATGCTAACGAATTCGCGTTCCTCCGTCTCTCCCTCCCTTCGTCCTCGATTCTCTAACGTGCCGGTGTCTAAGACTCTACTTCAAAAACAAAAGACCGGAGGAACGAACTTGTATCTCGCAGTGCCCGGGCGAAGAAGAGGGAACGGGCAGGACTCAACTTGGGCGGTTCTCTCTCTCTCTCTCTCTCTCTTTCTCTTTCACTTGTTCTTCTTCTTCTTCTTCCTCCTCCTCCTCTCGCAACCGAATCTTTATCCATTTCCGTCTCTATCTGGTGGCTATATTTATGCGCGGGCGGTACAGAGCGGTTGTAGGAGAGGGAAGAGGGGTGTACTAGGCTAGGTAAGTGCCGTTGAAAACTTCCAACTTTGTATCCCCCGTCCTCCTCTGCCTTTCCCTACTTCATCTTATCCTGCCGATCTCGCTATCTCTTCGTCTTTCGACCTTCGTCGCCGTCTTTTGTCCTCCTTCGCGAACACGCGTGTCTCTTTCCCTCCGGCTTTCCCTTCAGTTTCTCTTAGTTTCCACAGTAAAGGTGTTAAATTATACAGGCTTAAAATTCGACAGACCGTGCGGCTCAGCCCCATCGTGACGAGGCCCTCCTCCCTCTCGCTACGATTTCGGCCCGTAAGTTGATCACGCTAACTTTCTCACGGCGTCGAATTAAGCCTCCATCTTCGGCAATTATTCCGCGACTCGGAATGTCGAATACGTTGCGATAAAACGTGCCCGTTGTCGTGTTGATTTTCATTGCGACCCGTTTTATTTCAAGAAAATACACCGTGCGTCTCTGCGCATTACGTTCTCCATCTTGACGTTGGCTGTCACGTCGAAAAATTTATTATTAAAGCAATTTTACGCTCGTCCGTTTAAAGACTCCTACTGCTTTATCTCACTTTTATTCCTCGTGATGCGCGACGGAAGAATAAGAAACGCAGAAAACGCCAGATCCGTCACGGGACCCGCTGCGAGAGGTGTTATCTCCGAGGTGTCTTAATAAAGCATTTTTCCCGTTTTAAAGCGCAAAGAAGCGTAGCCGGTGCGCGGAGTGCGGCCGCGGAGTAATTAACTCGTAAATAATTACGATAAAAGTGACAAAGCGCCGCTAGAGAAATACTTTATCATCTGTCTCCGTGCGGCGGGGGTGATTTTTTCTCCTTTAGAAAGGATCCTTAAATCTCGTTGCCGTGAGAACCCTTTCCCCCACGGCCACCGGTAGCACTTCCGTCCTTCTCTCTTACTTTTCGTTTTCCTTTCCGCGCGTATACACGAGGCCCTTCTTTCTCTCTCTATATATATCTCTCTCTCTATCTTCGTACTGCTCCTCCTCCTCCTCTTAGAGAGGGTCCCGCTCGTAATTAAGAAATCTCCAGTAGAAGGCTCCAAACCGCCGTTGAACGTTGCTATGGGGTTAAATTAAGTCTATGACTTATTCAAGTTTTATCTACAATTGCCAGAGGAGGAATTACCGCGCTGTGGATTTACTGCCGGCATCGTAATCAAACGGCACGCGGGAACAGCTCCGCTAATGTGTGGGTACATAAAGTTCTGTGTGTGCATATAGAGTTATCTGGGAAGCTCTTCTCGAGCTCGCTCGAAGGCGTTCACTCAATTGTCTTTGTAACTGTCCGAAATTTTGCGATCAGCACCGAGAGAGGTTATTTTAACGATATCATTTCACCATACTTTTCGGGTTATTGATGTAACGAAGACGTCGTCCCGTGTTGCAAATGACAGCCGAGCAGCTCCTTTCGTGTTTATTCGCCTCTCACCTCGCCATAATCTCTCGGTTTTTCTTTCCTCCTCCGGAGGACCTCGCGCGAGCGCGCGCGAATAAGACATTAATCGTGACTCGGCGCGAGGGTGACGGAGGGGGCCGAGTAGTTTGTAACTGACGGTAAATGCGGAGCATCGCCGTCGCGCGAGGGCTCCGGGGGAATCGCGTGTCATTTGTCCGTTGATCTCCCGCGGATGGGAAACGGCCAGGTGCAAGCCCCATTCCTCCGGCGGCGGCACGGCTTTTCTTACGCGCAAAAATTAGCGCCGCCCTCACTCCGAGCGGGTTCGTGCCGACGATAGTTCGCGGCTCGACCTCCGGCACGAGATGAGAATTAGGCAAGACGTCGTTAATCGCCACCGGGATCGTTTAGGAGCGGAATTTACTGGCGGGTCGTTAGTCCGCCGCGGTCATTTTCGATCCGATTCTTCACGGGCGGGAAGAAATTGATTAACACACCGTTGCGAGCGTTCTAATGAGAGCGAGTAATGTAGAGGCCGACAAAACTACGCGAACGAATGAGAAAAGAAAAACAATTACAATTACGTAACCCTTTGAGAGACGAGTTCAAAGTGGAACTTTTCTCGGCTCGTACTGTTCTGCTCAGATTCATATTGGCTGAAACTTGCCAACTTGTCGCAAAGCGACGAGGTTCGGCAAACAGCCGACATTCGCGCGCATCGTGTTCAGATTCAAGGGGAGTGTGACAACCCGAAGAATTTCAATTTCGAACGGTGACGCGAAATTACCACTCGGACGCTCTCGGTCGAGTCCTCGCAACGCGCCGGGTCCACGCCCGTCGGTAATAATCGTTACAAAAGTAAGCTCGACCACGTAGCGCATAGCTCTCCGAGTTGTTTCCCAACTAAACTCATAATCTCGCGTAAGCTCGCAAGCCGGGCTTTCCCATGCGAGCTTTCTCCGCGCGCGTTGTATAAGGGGCCGTGCGGAGGCTTTACGTGAAATTCAGCCAAGCACGGTGCACCTAATAATGCGCTCGTTAACAAGAACGACGTGTACAGGGCGCGTGCGAGGGTTTGTATGTACATGTTCTCTCTCTCTCTCTTTCTCGCTTTCTCTTCCTCTCTCTCCTCTTCTTCTCTCTCTGCCTTCGTCTTCCTGTCACGACACAGCTCGCGATTTACACTGCGTTCGTTTAAGAAGCAATCTAATCGGCCAATCGATCGATCAGACTTTTGTCTGATTCATGAACCTATTTCGTCCAGGAAACATCTCAAACACCGCGACATTTTCGAAGTCGTCACCGATATATAACGACCTCTCTCGGCGATTATACTTTCTCTTCTTAGCTCGTTAAAACGCATTTTTTTACATTAATATCGGGCCACATGAGAAGATTATTGATTTTCCGTAATTTCATGACATCCTCTGATGTAATTCTAAACAGATCGTACCCGCGCACAACGATAGAGTATCTACAATGAAGGATTAATGATGGACTAATGGCTTTGTTCAGTGTGGGAATACGCTTCGTGGTCCTGTATAGTACTGCATTACGATGATGCACGTCCATTTCGCTAAACGCTACATTTCGAGGGATTAACCGTGCGCTACATTAATTATTATTAATGGTATCATATCCTATTCTGACACATTCTATTCGGGTATTCTAATGCATACGATATATCGGCCCTGATGAAAGCTAAGTGTTCCATTCATAACGAAACAACTATTTTTAATCAGCCGCGTTTATTTCACGCAAAATCGATAACAAGAACTGAATAAGTCTCTTAGTGAAACAATCCGTGCACGTGTACGCATTCTCTCATTACAGTTCTTAATACAAATTTCAATTGTTACGATAATAATGAAATTAATATAACCGCAATTCTCTTTGTATTTATCGAATTTATATGTACGTGTGACTTATCGCACCGGAAGATATAAATAAAATATCGGAAATGTGCGGTAGACATTCTTTAGCGCTAAAACTACCAAAGCCGACCAAATGACCGGCTTGTAATCTTTTCTTATAAAAGTTACTCCAGTTTCTCATGGTGCATTTTCTGAGATCAAGCGTAATTTTCGTCGCAATGCGTAAACGAACAAATATTTTTTCCTTCGCGTTACGTATTTTTTCAAAAATCTTATTTAAACTCCTCCGGTAGAAAGGTGCGCGTCAATCGTCGGTAGTTTTAGTGTTAACAATGCAAATGCGGGGCCGTAGGCTTCTTAAGTCCGTCTTTATAAGACAGATCCAATAAAACGTGACGTTAAATCGAAAGTTTAATTTCGCCGAAATTAGTCGCTCGCAAGTTAACGAACTTTTCCGGAATCTAATCGCCTGGAAGCAATATAGAGGACCTTGTAATGCCTCATTCCCTGTACGAATCTCGTACTGCGCATTGATCCTCTTAAATTCCCATGTACCTTCCATCCTGGCATTAGCATATTATCTCACCTCTACCAACCCCCTTTCCCCTCGTCTCACCCCCCAGTCCTCTTCCGGCACCTCGGCTCTCCTCCCTCCTCCGATTCGCGAAGGACTTCGCAGACACTCGAGAGTTTGTTTTAAAACTCAGATAATCGTTCCAAACTCTTGGCGTGTCTTCCTCTTTCCCGCTCTTACACCCGGTGTCTATATCCCCCTTTTCATCTCCCCTCCCGCGCATCTCGCCGGGTCCCGAGGGAAAAATTAGACCGAAATAAAAGTTCTCGCCAATTTTTAAGCACGTTACACTTGTCTCTAAGGAGGATGAGATTGGGAGGCCCGATCGAAGCTTCCCGGCGAGAAACGAAGCTAAAACTCCGCGAACTGCTTTAAACTCTGGCTACAGTGCAACGATATACCTTTAATCCCGAAATGGTTCGAATCGTTGAATTGTAATTGTAATTGCAGAACCTACCGTTATTCGAATTTGTTGAACAACACGACGCGAGCGGGACGTGAACGCTTTAGCGAAAGATATAACGTATCTCTAACACGCGATAAAACTTCTATGGCTCAACATGATGATATCGGAAACGATCCGTCATCCGCTTCTCCGTCGTGACAACTCGATTGTCGATGCCGACGTCTAAGGGCGGTCCAGCCGCCCGTTTCCTTTCATCCTTTCAGCCTCCCCCCCCCCTCCCGTTGTCGATTTACCCCGGATCAGGCGTAGTCGAGTTATTCGTAAGCAACACTCCCCGGCATTATTCGCCAGGAGCGCGGAGGATCCCGCCAGGGCTGAGAAAGATTGGGACAGCTGTCTGTTCTCAGGCAATCAGAAAAACTACCGTTCCCCATCTTCCGCCGGCGGTACTTCGGCGCCCCCGACGAGCCGCGGCTTAAGGAGAGTACAAGGGTGGCAGCTGCCTCCCAGGACGAGCACCCTCTTCGCGGTTTTTAAGAATCTTAACGCCTTCTCTCCTTCCTTCTCCCTCCGCGTTATTTTTTCTCTTCCTTGCTCTTCCTCGCACTTTGTAGATGCTCTCAATTTCATCTTTGCATTTTGTCACGGCCTATCGGAGTGATAAATCCAGGCATTATCTCCTTCTTCTTCTTCCAAAGTTGCTTTTTGCGCTTGGATATCACACCGTCTATCGTTCGACGTTTCCATCGTGTTCCGATATTTCGATATTTTCCTCTCGTTTGTTCGTCCACGTTTTACGAGGTTACTTACTCGCGCGATACAAAAGCGCGCGTTAATTCCTTTTATTTAGATGCAAAATGTTAAACGCCTCCATCCGGCTAGGCAACAGAACGGTAGACATCTTGAGTGTTCTCCGCGATCGGAGGTATTCAAGCTCCCGGCACGAGATGTCAAGAGGGATCCATCAGGCTTAGCGTAATAGATGCGCAGACGACATTAGCATGCCACGCCGATTATTGGCATTAGTCTGCCATCCCGTTATTTCGCACACCGGTCATTTATAACCCGTAAACCCCCTCGAGCGAATCGATATTGCGTGTGAAAGCTGCTGGATCGCGCAATATCGAAGCATACCACGGACGTGCCAATTTTTCCCGATTGTTGACGATACCGGAAATTTACAGCAAAAAACAAATTTCACCTCCTCTTGCCGCGCGCGCGCGCGCGCACGCACGCTCTCGCGTATCGGGGGCAATAAAGGTATTCTCGTATTAATTAAAGCGACACATCGAGTGGCGGCGAGTCGAGACCGTCGAAGCTCAAGGCTCGAGACACCTCTCCACCGTGTCGAGGGAAAAATTTACGCGCGAGCGTCCCTGAAAAATGTTTACGCGCTACACACCCGCTCCCTCGTTCTCTCTTTCTTCCTCTTTCTCTCTCGCCAACCGAGTATTTCTTTAAACATTATAACTAACGCGCCCACGCGTCGGAGAAACGCGCGACGCTTACGTGGCGGTGGGAATAGAGTCGCAAGGGTTACCAACCCCTGAATTACACGCAGCTCGCCGGCGAGGCGGTTAAGGGGAGGCGAATTTGCATATTATAAGTAGTACACGTTACCGAGCTTGATATCATCGGGCCGGGGAACCTCGTTATTCTCTGCATGCGTACAATTCGAGCGTGCGGCAAGCGAGCATCTACAGACCGCTCGCAGACGTCCCGAACTTTCGCGACCACCTTTATCGAATCTACCAACCCGTCACCTCGTAACGACAGCGAATCGTATTTTAAGCGAAGACTGCCGACGAACCGACTCAATAACTCAATTTCGTCCGCTAAGAAAGAACTATGTTCTGAGTATTCGCGCGAGAGAGATTCGCTCGCTATCTCTAATGTTAATGAAATGCAACGTCGAATTCTTACGGTATTGATGATGGTAATGCGGACAGAATCCTCCTTTTAATCGGACGGGTGTACTTTCAATCGTGTGTAACTTTTACGTAAATATAGCGAATTAGAATACGTGACGTCATTATACACGAAGACGGTGGAATCCTTGCAAGACGGAACCCGGATTAAATGGATAGGCTCCTAGGGTCGAACAGGACGTGGTCCTTCGTGCGGCGGGAGCTTAAGATATTGTTTCGAAGCAAGGTTGTTGCCTTAGGATAATCAAGAAGGCTTAATCCCAACAAGCTTAACGCCGATGAGTTCATAATTCTGGACGTGGCCGCTCGTGAAAATCGTCTCTCTTCATCGCTCGTCATTTATCCCTTATTATCACTATCTTATATTCGCTCTTGCTGCAGTTACTTAATCCAACATCGAGTAAAGCTGTCTGTACAGCTTCCGCGAATTAAATCAACTTGCAAATTTTTGTTTCGACATTTCTTCAGGCGTGTTCAAAGCTTACTACGCAAGCTTCGAGATGCGAAATACACGACGATCTTCCCTGCTCCGTAGTTCCACGGCGGAATAGCTTTCGGGAGCTTGGCGATCCTCTCGACGAGTAAATTCTTTCGCACGTTCCGCCTTCGCCGGAGAACGGGCGAATCGTTAAGGCATGCGACGAGGCTTGCTTAACGGGCGAGCTTAATTAATAAGGACACGCGATATCCTAACTCGTAAGACGACGGTAGGATGGTAAAGCATAGCTGAAGCCTCGGGGGAGTCCTTTGTTGTCGAGAGGGTCAGGACCTGCCACTTTAACCCGCCTTAAGGGGTTGCGCCTCGAGGAGTTTGAAACCTTGCGAGTTTGAAACCCGATGGCCAGGGTCCGGAGACTCCACGATGCACTCTCTATAATAGTATTTTACACGGAATATCTCGTGACGAAAATACATCTGCCGATAGATAGGCGTGCGCGATATATACTCTGTGCGGCCGTGTAGCGTCGTTATTCTTGCCATATCGCAGCCCCCTACGGCCCCACCCCCTGTTGATAATGGAAACAAACGTAAACGACTCTTCACCTGTGGCTGCAGATGAGTCACTTGCCTCTTGATGTGCGCCAAGGTCGCACTGGGCGGCGGATGCAGGGCCATGTTGGCGAAGACCAACCTCTCCTCGTAATCGTATTCGCAGAGGATCTTGTTATCACAGAGATAAAATCTGTCACCCACGCAGAATCTGCAATCACAAAGATTTACGGTTTCGTTATGCCTCTGAGATGGGACGGAAAATTTACCGAGAATTTATTTATAAACGCGATATGTATATATATATAAATATACGGCGTGGGCGGTGGAATCGGCGCGGTTAAACGACAACGATCGTTAGCATGTCGATTTGCAGCGCTTACAAATGGCCGGGGGAAGGGAGATTCCGAATCTCGGGTGCGAGATAGGCAGAGCGGTAAAACGTGCTAATTCCTTTTAAGGCCACTTTCCGTTCTGCTCCGCCGAGGAAATTGCTAGAAAATAAAAACAAGTAGCGGAACGCCGCCCCTCCCCCGACTTCCTCGGGCGTCTTCCTGGGCACTTAAATGTAAATTCTCAGACGATTCGCAGGCATCTCTCGCGCTCGGATTACGGCGATTGGGAAGGTCCGCGCTTCTCTCTCGTTCTCTTACTTTCCTCTTACGCGCGCGTCGACATCTCCGCGTTTTCTCGTCCGCAACTTATCCGTGCGTAAAATCTTAAACGCAGCACTGCGACGATAAATATTACCGCAGACAATAGCATCGTGTATCCCCGCGATATTATAGAAAATCGTTGGTGAATTGACACACGCATTGGCATCGACATCTGTCCATTCTCGGATGCCGGCGAATAAAATCAGAGACGGCACCGAAGTGTATTTTAAAATTCAGCGTATAAAAGTCCGGGATTTTACAGTAATCCGACACGATATACATACCGGCGCTGCACGCGGATTTCGGGACGGTAGCGGCGAGGTACCGAACGTGCTCGGCTTGCGATATCAGAGAAATAAGGTTGCCACCGAGGGTTATACGCATCTACCAACTGTCGCCCCCGTGTGAGGGGTGCGGCGCGCTGGCGGTGCCTTTAAAATCAAAGATTTCGCATTTTTCGTTTTTATTGCCGGTTTAAAAGTCAATTTTTTCTCTGCCGCGCCCTCTCGGGGGGGAGTCCGCATAAAGGACGTTACGCCGGAAATGCTAAAGAGCCATGAAAAGCGTGTGGGGGTGGTGGCGACGATGCTTCCACTGTGCGCGCCACGATGGATCGAAGATCCACGAGGGACACGAAAATCGTTTCGCCAGGATCCGCGAGTCTTGAGAATTCCCGTCAGGCGCCGGGAACATCACTCTCTGGACGTTATACGTTACCGCGTGTATCGATCGCGATATGACGGGCGTGTTCGCGCGATTTGTCTCACCGAAGAGGAAGGGCTCGCGAGACTCGAAGTCGAATCCTTGGGACACGTCTCTCGGATACGGTCAATGTAGATCCTTCGTAGAATCGCTCTTCTGGAACGCAGTTTTCCTCGCACTTCATCTTGTTCTTTGAATCTCAATAATATTATAAAACGATGTAAAAGAGCAATTTGTAGAAACATCCCGCGTCTGCCTTATGATATTTGTTGGCTCGTTTTTAAATAAGTTTGATACATGAACGCGAATGATAGGTGAATGACTGATTCTAACAATCAAGGAGACGAAGGGGAGAGAGGGAATGATGAATGAAAGAAACAGTCGCCACATCACGTCAAGGCGTCGTCGATGAACCGCGTAAACTCTACGGCACTGTAAACGCCCGGGAAAACGCGTATACCATTCGTAATTCACCGGTGAATAATAAAAACATTTTTCGTTAGGGGGTAGGGGCGGGGGTGTGTACATCGGGTACATACGGCCATTGCGTATTCAACGGATGTGCTGTCCCGCGCTGGGATCCTGTTTGGGTTTTATGTCGGGATTTCTCTGTCGAGTGGTTTATACCGGCGCTTATGTAAATGCAGACGTGATTTTTTTCAGCACCTACTCGAGCAGCACCTGAACGTGCGCGCACATTTGTAGCATTCGAAACGAGCCGGTCGACCGCCGTCGCCTCCTTCCAGGAGGACCATGAAATCGCAATGAGGCCCCACAACGGTGCTCCGCTGTATCTGCCGGGATCTGCATTTTTTTTACCCAGCGGATTCAGCGGCGCGTTTTTAGGACGTCGTTGAACAATATACGCGCGACGTCGGCGAGATCGGTTCGCGAGAGCGAATAAAAATCGCTGCTCCTCCCTCTTGATAGATCTCGCGGTTTAAGAATATGGTAGACGTTCATAACGTTTATAGGCATAGAAGTGGTTTAATTGTCAAAAATAGTGAGAAAAATGAGTTTCATTTTTGAAAAAGTGAGAAAATGGTAAATCAACTTTAAAAGATGTGAGTAAAGAGTGAGACTTTTCCAAATGATTTGTACGTCATAAATTAAATTATTTATCCATTATATCATTCTAGAAAAAAAAGTAAAAACACTGGCCTTATAATGAAAGTCAATGAAGATGAATATTTAATTTTTTGGGAACAAATGAGTTACGGAATATAGAACTTAAACTTTCCTTTAAACTCAATCTTAGGCGTATATTTAGATACAATAAGTCTTGACAAAAAATTAAATTCCTCCGTGTTTTCTCAAACACATTTAATGAAATAAAATTAAAACAATATTTGAGTTCAATTAAGCTACATCGCAATATATTTCCAGAATGTTATATATTTCCAGAATGGGATATCTTAAATCTTTTCGTCAAATAGAACAATTTTAGAAATAAGGAAAATATTTAAATTACAGGTTTTCCATTAAATGCAAACTAGTTCGTCAATTTCTTAAGAATAATAAAACAAATAATATTTAATAATATCTAATTTAAAAAAAGCATAGTCAAGTGTATCGGTCAATATCTGTTTTTGTTTATAAATAATTGTTTTGGCTTGGTAGACAAACAAGAATTATGGACGGATAAATCGAGGATAATCGATTCCATTACATAATTTAAAGAAAACATAGTTAGGTATTCATGACGGTCATATTGTCTGTTTTTCTAACAAACAAACTGAAAAAACAGTTTAAAAATAAAATCACGATCCTTCATTTTATGAACATTATGTTACATCGTCGGAGTCATTGTTATTTTCTATATTCGTTGAATCTTTTGTTCTACTTATAAAAAAGCCAGATATTAAACATGATTTCTTGTGATCGGATTTGTTTTAAAAGTCAAGTCAAGTAAGAAAAAATGAGGAAAAATGAGACGTTTCAAAATAAATGAGGAAAAGTAAGTTGCTCCCAAAGAAATGAAGCGAATATCGATCACTTCGCGGTCACGATGTTTCAGACTGAAGCATTCGCGTGACTTCGGTTTTACACGGTGTCATTAGAAATTCTCATTATCCCTCGATATCTTTTCGTTGTTTCGGAAATATTAATGCGCGACATTATAGATGCATTAGCTCGCGCTGGATTTGAAATGGCGAACATTTATTCTATATCCGGCCTGACTGGCGACGGTCTAATTGAACTTAAAATATCTCGCCAATCGGCACGCGAATCCGGGATATGTCTCGATCGATAACGTCGGCTGTGCAGAATCGCGTAATATATAAATACGCCTCTACTTCATGAAATTAGGACGCCGTCGAAAACTTTAGGCGACGTTAATTAATTTCGCACAAACAGATTTAGCACTCTCTATCGATTCTTACTGGTCCGGTGATCGAATTAATTAAATTGAACAATCCCACGCGCTAAAGATATTTGATGCGTTTTTAAGGCGCAAGGACTTTCAATGCAGAGATCCTCTTCGTCGTATATCGATCTCGCCGAGAGGAATACACACACACACACAAGGCGATTTGTTTCTTCGCGAGAGTCCATTTGCACGAAATAATTTGGACGGTGGATTTTTGTCGCGCGCTGACATCTCGTTTCGCGGCAATAAGAAGAAGAATCGAGGTGGTGACGGAGGAAGAGACGAAGGAGGAGCGAGTTGACGAGAGACAACCGTGTGTGCGCGATCGGAACACCCAACCGTGAACCACCATAAAAAGCAATGCGCCCTCGTAACGGGGTACGATAAGTACCGTGCCACGGAGCAAAATCGATCCCGGGGGCAGCTTCGAATCATGCACCATAAAAAAGAACATTACAGAGCGTAGGTGCGAGAGGAGGAGTCAGGGCGGAAGGACGGAAAAAAGCGGTCCTTTATAATGGTGTTGTGATTTCGCGTCTAGATACGCGCGTCGGTGGTGCTCGCCGATAAACGCTGTTTCTGTAACCCGTAACGCTAAACGTTCGGGGCATTAGTACAGCCGCTCGTTCTCGAGCCGCCGTGTATCCTTCTTCCTCGGGGTCCCTGCAACTCGATGGAGATCGAATCTCTGCGATCTTTGCTCGCAGAACGGATCGAGCACGGGAAAATTCAGCGCGGTCGTCGAGCGACAACGATTATATTTAAACGACGATTGATATAAATAACCGCCGATCGATATTGCATTCAACGGGAGCGAATGAATGATGACGGTGGAAACAGCGACAGCTTAGTTCCTCGTCGATATTATTTTTAGTAGCGATGTGTTGTTGACCGAAGCCCTGAGCTCTCGAAAACAGCGCCGATCTCAATCGAGTCGTCGCGCGTTCTGAAAATCGACGAGCAAATCGGTTACGGCGAGAGGGGCCGTTAAACGTTCGCCGCGACGCGCCTCTCGTCGCTGCTAAGTCGAGAGAAAGCCTCCGAGATTCGTCGGCAAACAGTGCGAGCTCCGCAACGTGGAACGGGAAACCCCAAACGGCAACACTTCGACGATAGTCAAGACCAGAAGGAGAGGTGGAGGTTTGCTCGAAGCCGAAGAGGGTCGCGCGGAATGAATTTCGTACTCGGTCGCGGAGTCTTTTGAGAACAAAGAAGGAGAGAAGAAGAGAGAGAGAGAGAGAGAGAGAGAGTAACACGCGGTCTAGATTGAGGCAGATAGACGTATACAGGATGCATGTGTACGCGTATGTATATATGTAGGTAGGCAAGAGGGGGAGAAAGCCGGGAAAACGTCTATACTGGCGGTAGTTGGTGGTGCTCGTACTCAATTTGCATCAAACTATGAAGAGACAGACACCACCGCCGTCCTCTCACCCCGGCTCCGGAGGCCGCCACTCTAACACCTGATGGAGCCTCCGTTCT